GCATATCCACCTATCCCAACGGCAAGCTTAATATTGGTGCAGACATTAAACAGTCTTTCAACTTCTGGAAGCTCCAAGTCTCTGTAACCATAGTAGGCCATGGCCAATTCTAAATTGCTTCAACTTAACTTGGATTTACTTGTATACCATCTTTAAACACCACATAGCCTAAGAAGGTAACTTGATCAAGTTAAAATTCACATTTAGAAAACTTTGCATAAAGTTGATACTCTCTCAATATTTGTAATACTAGTCACAAGTGTTCTTCATGTTCCTTTACATTCCTCGAATAGGCAAAAATATCATCAATGAAAACAATTACAAACTTGTCCAAAAATGGTCTAAATGCCCGATTCATCAAATCTATGGAATTGATCATTTCTAGAGGAACCATTAAATCTTACTCCATCTTCCCTGTTACATTTCTTAGAAACCACCTTATTTTCTTGATGCTTTAACTCAATCTTAGAACAGCATCTATAGCCAGTGAATAGTTAGTGAAAAGATTCATCAAGACAAATACTAGATCATGTATCTCTGAGGCAAACCATGAATAAATCTACATATCCTTTCTTTCTCATAAGGCACTATGTGAGAAGCAAAAGAAGAAAGTCTTAAAAATTTTCGATCAGATTCTATTACTGACCCAATATGTCTCAAGTTTAAGAATTCTTTAATCTTAGCATCTCTTTTCAATACTTTCAAGAAACTCTACTAGGTTCCTTTTTTCATTAGTTCTAGAGAAAGTAGGGAAATTTAGCTTGATAAAACCTATCAACTTTGCTATAGTAGTCTCTTTTGTAACGATACTATAAGTTTTCCTCTTCAGTACCTTTGTATAGTCAATGAAGTACCCTCGTAAGATTAGGGATTTAAAGACTCAGTTTAAAGACTCAACCTCAAATAAAATCTCTTGAATATGCCTAGGGGATCAACCACTCCTAATCCTCGCTTGCTTATAACCCTACCCTCATCCATGAAGGGGCAATTCATTGTGTGGAATAGAGGACATATTTGATGCCCTACTGCTACTAGAACTCTTGCTAAAAGGATGAAGTCTACGTGGCATTCTTACTAAATACATAAGAGATAATAAACTTGACATATAATAGTTATACAAGAAGCACAATAAATAAGGACAAGAATAACTATTTAGGACTTCCTAAAAGGCCTTCAATGAAGCCTCAATTATTAATTTTTTTTGGGCATGATAATAATTGGGACTCTAAAGAAGAATCTTTGCTCCATGTAACCGTAGAAACCTAAGCTTTGAAACCAATCTATCATGCCTTAAAATTTGGAGAGAGATCGACACGGGATGTGAACCGTTTCACACATCCCTATAAACCTTGAATTGTAAATTCACTCTATTTCTAGAATTAAATTAGATTTATATTGACATTATAAATACTTTTGACACTAATAATTATAACAAAGTTTCAACATGTTTATAAAAATTTCAACAAAACTCCTCCTGTAATTAAAATCTCTCAAAATTTCTACAACACATAGATGTAGTCAAAATATCAAATAAATCAGGAGCCTAGCTCCTTCCGGTCGAAAGACAGCAAATGTATAAAAATAAAAGTCCTAGTTCTAGCTTATGTAGAGCATCTAATTGTGCTTTTCAAAAATAAAAATAAGATATATAAACATTTATAATTACATCAAAAGAAAAATTTCAATCAACCCTCCACTTGTCTATAAGTGTTCAAGGATCAGCAGGAAGATGAACGTCAGCTAAGGTACCCAACAATAAACATTAGAACATAAATAAAATGAAAAGTTTGAAATAGTTATGTAAGTTAAATAGACAAAATTTTCGTAAAAATTTAATAAACTTCATAATAAAATGGCTCTATAAATTTAAAATAAAATCTCAAATCATTAAATTATCATAGTAAATAATAATATCACTTCATTTAAAGAAAGCACATAAATGAAATAAATATTTATAAACAAATTACTAAATAAAAACCAATAGAATATGAAATCATCAAATGATTGGATTCATAATTATAGGGACTTATCAAAACAATTAACAAATGTGGACACACAGTCCATGAGAGTAAATAACCAAACGCGGCTTATGCCATGAAAACAAATGTGGACACACCAATCCATGAGGGTAAGTAACTAAATGTGGCCGAAGCCACAAAACAAATGTGGACACACAGTCCATGAGGGTAATGCTAACCAAACGCAGCTTGAAGCCACGAAACAAATGTGAGTACGATACTCATGAATAACCATCCCTCCATTTCACATGCGTTGGCTATTGCATGGGGCTAGCACCTCTTATAAACACCCTGCTAGCTAGGTGTACCATGGTGCGTCAAGGGCTAATGGAACTGCCGTTAGCAACCAGTGTTCTGTATAAGGTCCCCTTTTTAAAACCATTTTCAAACATGTGAGAAAATCATCACTTTTAAGATATAGTTCTCATTCTCAAAATCAAACTCGCATGAATACTTTTAAGCATTAAAACTTGCCAAAATAAAATTTCATATCCAATGCTCATGCTTACATATATTGAATAATCAAAAATTGCCAATGCTAATGAAAAGGAATTTTATTAATCCTAAAAGTATATCTCATAAGGGATAAAATATTCATATGCTGTGATGAATCATTTTTCACCACCATCTTAAAACTTAAAAATGAAGAAATTTAATTAATAAAGTATCTACTAATCAACATAATTATTATTAAAATAATTAATGTAACAAAAAAAAATTTAATAAGAAAAATTAATTGATAAATTAGTTGGGATGCTATCCACTTACCTAAGTTTTCAAAATCTTACAGTCCAATTCCCACAACTCCTTACTCATTTCAATTGTGCCCTAAAATTAATCTCTTGCTGACACAAACAACGTGATAAGATGTAAGAAGAATCAGTTGCTCACTCCCCTATGGCTGGCAAACACGAATGGGAAAGATGGCAGCAAACGAAGCAACAGCAGTGACAAAAAACCCCAGCCGACAGCGAGCTCAGAAAGTTGATAAGAATGGAAGAGATAAACCGACTATAAAAGTCTAGAGAAGTGTATAAGGGCAGTGGAGAAAAGAAAAATCGAAGCTTTATTTTCTATTTGTATAACTGGGCTGAATCAGAGTAAAAGAAGAAATGGGAAAATTTATAAAAATAGCCTGAGAAAATTACAATCAAAGGCACAAAAATTTACAAAAAAGGACACAAAATTTTTCAATAACTGAAAACCAAACTTTAACTTAGAACATTTGGATTCTGGATCCTTACAAAAGTTCTAGCATAATCTCCTATAAACTACCCCTTTCTAATGCTATAAAACTTATTAAAATATTAGGGAAAATGTTGTTTGTTTGTTGTTTTTTTTTAAATTTTAGGGTCATTACATAAACCTCAATATTATAGGAAGATACCACAATACCTTCACTGGAGGCCTCTTAGTAATGGAATCATCACTACCATCTATTTCTTTTACTTTGTAACGTGATACCCTACAAACTAGGCACATATCCAATACTTCAAAATCATTTCTGTACAATATACAATTATTAGGGCAAGCATGTATCTTTTGGTACCTCAAACCCATTGGACATAATTTTTTTTGGTTTCATAGTAACTACTAAGAAGTGTGTTACCCTCTGGAAGCATCTCTTTTAATAATTTAAGCAACTCTATGAAACTCTTATTGCTCCACCCATATCTGGCTTTCAAGTTAAACAACTTTAACATCACTATTAGTCGTGTATATTTTGTACACCCTGGATATAAAGGAGTTTTTGAATCATTGCATAAGCTATCATATTTGTGCACCTTTTCAATAGCTTCAATGCTAATGTCACATAACATATCCTCTATTTGATCACTAAAATCCATATTATCATTCTCAACTTGTGGTGTACTATGTTTTCTAGATTTACCATGCAATATCAACTGTCTATATGCTTTGTGAAACCCAAAACAAATTAGGTGATCCTTAATCTCTATAGAACTTTGTCGTAACCCATTCAAGCACTTAACACAAGGACAATAGAACAATCCTTTATTATTAGGAACATTGTTCTTTGCAAATTTCAAAATTGATCTACCTCCTTCTCATATTCATCACTTGTTCACAAAGCATCTATCCAACTATAGTTCATCATTACCTATTCCAAAAAAGCAAGATCTTATCCAACTATGGCATCATAACAATTTACAAAGCAAGATCTTTGAGACACTAAATTCTTCAATTCTATCAATTTAACATTACTAAAATGCCAGTTTCAACAAATTTTAACAAAATATCAATTATTCAACCTCAAATTAATTATACTAAACATAAAGAAATTAATATCATGGAAATTTCAAAAAAATTGACAACATAACAACTTATAAATTAAGATTTTTTTAGGCACTAAACCCTCAATTTGATCAATTTAAGTAAATCACGATTGGTATTTTGATAATTATCAACTCTAATCAACAATCAATAGTATAATTTAAGATAATGGGGTTCACAATTTATCCCAACAAACAAACTTAAAAAGAAATTAATTACACTAAACATAAAGAAATTAATATCATGGAAATTTAGAGAAAAAAATTGGCAGCATAACAACTTATAAATTGAGATTTCCTGAGCACCAAACCCTCAACTTGATCAATTTAAGTAAACTTTAATTGAAATTTTAATAATTATCAACTCTAATTAACAATCAATAGTATAATTCTTTGAAGAAAAAAATTAAAAAGAAAAAACTTAAAAAGTAACAAGAGGTGAGCTGCAATCAAAAAAACAAACTAATTAAGTAATAAATAATAATTAGTAACAATCAAAATTTATCCCAACAAATAAACTTAAAAAGAAAAAAATAGTAAGAAAAGGAGATAAAAAATAGTAAAACAATTAGAAGCTATAAATAATTAAGTAAAAAATAGCTAAAAATTGCTAAAAAAACCTTATGCAGCGGAATTTGGAAGAGACAGCAGCTGGGCGATAGCGGCTGCTAGAGAGGCAAAGAAACGAGCCATGGGAAATGCAGCTGGAGGTGAGCTAAAGGCAATGATTTGGAAGAGACAGTAACTTGGGCGGCAAGGCTAGAACCTACAGGTAGAGCTGGAGAAGAAGTAGAGCTAAGGAAAAGCGAGCTAAGGGACGATGGTAGTGATAGCAGCGTAGGAGAAAGGGTAGAGCTAAGGGAAACGAGCTGAGGGAAAGAAGCTATAGGTGAAATCAGATGAAGCAGCACTGAGGGAATGCGGCTGAAACGAGCTATCTGAATTTTAGACATATTAATGTCTAAAATTCAAACATACATTCGGCGACAGGCGCGAGGATGAGTGAATTTCAGACATATTAAATATGTCTGAAATTCAGATATTATTTAAATTTTTTAGTGAGGCTGTCCAAATTCAAACCATTTGAATTCAAAATGTCTTAATTAAGATATAAATAAGTAAATTATTTATTAAAATTTAATTTTAATAAATTAAAATAAAATTTAGTAATTAATAATCTAATTCTAATAAATTATGTTCATTAAGTATTTCTTATTTTAGGTAAATTAATTTGTCTTAAATATTACTTTATTAATAAAAAATTAATATTATAATTAATAATTTAATTTATTATAGTTATTTTTTAAATTAATTACATTTAGGCAATAAAAAATTGACTAATAATTTACTTTAACTAATTACATTTATGGTGACACTTAATCATAGGACTGTGGTTATAAATGGAATACTTTAAGCATTTAATTACAAAAAGCCACTTGCTCATATATTGCCACAGGTTTTTAAGAAACTGCAGTGAAAAACGTGTCATTAAAATTTTATTTTGCACTAGTGACCCAATGGGCAGAGGCCCAACCCACCACCCAGTAGCCGTCAGTTATTCCCTATCTCTTAATTAACTGAGTCAGAAATAATGAAATATAATTATTTAATTATTTAATAAAGTGGTTACTAATATGATCCTTATAAGTCAATTAATCAATAACCGCAAACACACAATACATTTTCTTCTACTCCATTATCTCTGCATTCTTTGAAAAACTCTAGGGTCTAGTGAGTTGTGCGTCTGTCTACACTCGAGGTGATCAAGGTATCTTTAGTAAGCAATCATGGATTCTTTAGATACACACATATTACTTTATTCTATCGTATTCGATCATATATGAATTGAGATACTAAATCTAACACGTGGCATTAGAACCTGGTTACAAATTTTAAATTTATATATATCTTAATTCTGTTTATGTATATAAAATATGTTAATAGAAATTCATGATGATTTTTTAGATAATATGTTTCAGTTTCTTACTCTTCTTATTGTTGGATTTGAGAATTTTGAATCGTGTTACATATGTGAAGAAACTGTGTAGCGTTATCCTCCCATTGGTTTATGTATATGAATCTATTTACTTATGATTTTTTTAATCAATCTCTAGGATCATATGCTTCTTTAAGTTACTGTGCTGTTGCCAGAATAAAAAAATGCCCTTGTTAGCGGCTATAGTGGTCGTGTTCACTGTTGTTTAAAGTTATTGGAATCTCTATGGTTGGTGGCGCCACTCTCCTAGCCTTATGAGTCACACTGCAGGTTATAGAGTTGTCGGAGAGGACTTTTGCTTCGCCAGAGGTGGCAGCTATAAGAGTTCTCTAGTTCCTATCACCGTAGAAGTTGGAGACGTTGTGGTTGATTACAGCTCCCTGGATGCCAGCATCGTCTCCTTCCCCTAACTCACGACGTTACTCCTCCCTGGACGAACAGCTTAGCTGTTAGGCTGCAAGTTCATACCGACGTTATGGCTGTCTAGGTGACGGCGTCTCCCCCATGGCGCTTTTAGCTCACAGCTCTAGGAGAGCTAGGAACAGGGTCAAGAATTAGATCCTAGGGATCCGGTTCAACAGGTTATAGGCCCAGTTTTCATATAGGCCCAGATCCTTTAAAAAAGGGCAACAGATGAGGAAATTAGGCCAGAAGTGAAACGGATTGTTTCACTTAAAAGTATTGGGCCTTAATTTCGGCCCAGTGGTACTATTCATAAAAAAATTGCTATTTACATTAATTGTGTTTCGGCCCAGTTTATATTACCTCCTTTGGCCCATAAATTTTAGGATTTACATCGTGACCCCATAATGTTTTAGAGATTACACTATAGTCCCTTAACTTCTAGAATTACAATTTTGACCCAAATCTCTTCCAGAATTACCTATTTACCCCTGATCACCTTTCAAAATTTCACTTAAGTCCTAAATTTATTCCCTAATTCCTAAAAGACCTCAAGGACTTTTGAAATTATTTTATTTGATCCTAAGGTCATAAAATTTATGACTTTGTGAATTATTGATGATGCTTAGGATCTTGTAGCATTGATAATGGATATACCCTATAGATATGACATTATTAATGTGATTTTGATGGTTGGTTTTGAGCATAGGCTAATAGCACTTCTTTAATATGTTAGATATTTGTTGTACCCTATAGGTATGGAAATGTTTAAACCATTATTTTGTATGAACTTTTGTATAAGCTAAATCTTTATGGTATTTGAGCCTTCTTGGTGCATGATTATAGTTGCATAATTGATAATCGCTTGTTGGAGAATTTTGTTTTATAATTATATTGTGTACGCATAATTAATATTTTCCATTTTCTGTTTTGCAATTTCAGTTTCTGCTTTTGTGCAACTATCCTTTTTGAAGGCTCTCAATGGGACTAACTATGATGATTGGAAAGAGTCCCTGAATATGTATCTTACCATTTCTGAAAAAGATTTAGCTCTAAGAGAACCCAAGCCTGTGGATCTCTCTTTTGAGTCCAGTACTTCTGAAATGGCCTTCTATAAATAATGGAGTGAGTCCAATCGGATTTGTCTAGCAATCACCAAATACACAATTGAAAAGGGAATTAGGGACAGCATTCCTGAAAAGGATACTACAGTGGAATACTTGAAAGCTGTTGGTAACAAATACAAGAAACTTGACAAGACTCAAAAGAACTATTATTTGTCAGTTCTTAAAAATACTCGATATGACAGAGTTTCTAATGTCAAGGAGCATATTCTAAAGCTTGTTCATTACTACAACAAGCTTAAGTCATATGGGATTGATTTAGGAAAAAGTACCTTAGTTTACTGTGTTCTTCAATCACTGCCATCATAGTATGCATTCTTTAGGACTTCATACAACTCACAAGAAGCTAAATTTTCTGTCTACCAGATGATATCAATAGTCACTCAAGAAGAGGAAGCTATAAAGAAGAATTCCTCTCACTCAGTAAACTATGTTTCTCATAGCTCTAGCAGCAAATCTAGAGGGTTGTATAAGGAAAAGGGGAAGAAGCATGAGGTCTCAAAGTCTAATAATCTAACTTTTAAAAAGGATAGTGATAAGAGTGAGAAGCTGAGGAAGAAATCGTTTAAAGGGTTATGCAATTATTATAAGAAACTAGGTCACATTAAAGCTAATTGCTTCAAACTGAAGAATAAATAAGAAAGTGAAGGTATAATTCTTCAAATTACCCCTCTAGCTCTAGTTTGTTTTGAATCTAACACCATTAAAACTTCCTTTAACTCATAGTTGCTAGATTCTGGTGCCACTTTACATATTGTGAATTCTCTACAGGGGCTAAGAAACCAAAAGGTTCCAAGTGAGGCACAGAGGTCAATCTTTAGCATGGCAAGGAGCAAGGCATCAGTTGAATGTATTGGAAGTATTTCTTTATATTTAAATTTTGGTCATGTTTTAAATTTGAACAATGTTGTTTATGTACCTTCTGAGAAGAGGAATTTAATTTCAACTTCTGCATTGGATATTTGTGGCCATTCATTCTTCCAAGGAAATGGAAAAATTAATATTTGTTTTGATTCCATTAATGTTGGTTGTACTTCTTTGATATATGGTTTATATTGATTGAATGATTAGTCACTTGAACTTCCTAATCTCCATATTAATGCTGCCATTGGGCATAAATGTCAAAGGCCTAATGATAATTCCTTTATGTTATGGCATCGTCATTTAGGTCATATCTCTAGAGAGAAATTGGAGCACGTGGCCAAGCAAGGTTCCTTACAAGACCTTGATTTCTCAGATTTTGAGACTTGTGTTGACTATATAAAGGCAAAATTCCCTGCTAGAGCTAGAATCAAAGGGGCAAAGAGATCTGAAAATAGCTTAGACCTAATCCATACTAATATCTGTGGACCTATTACACCTCTAGCTATAGGTAGTTTTAGATATTTTATCACCTTCATAGATGATTACTCTCATCATGGATGGATTGAATTCTTACGTGAAAAGGGCAAGTCTTTTAATGCATTCAAGACCCTTAAGGCAATAGTCAAATTGAAATCTAGGAAGTTGATCAAATATGTGAGATTTGATAGAGGAGGAGAATTTTATAGGAGATGTACTGAGACTGGCAGGAACCCTGGGCCATTCGCTTTGTACCTTCAAGAGCATGGCATTGAAGCTCAGTATACTATGCCTAGCACCCCGCAATAGAATAGGGTTGCAAAAAGGCATAATCATAATGGATATGGTTAGAAGCATGATTAGTCACTCCTCACTGCCAGAATTCTTGTGGGGTGATGCACTTAAAACTATTGTTTATATTTTGAATCAAGTTCCTAGCAAGTCAGTTTCAAAGACTCTATATGAGTTGTATTTTAGAAGGACTCCTGCGCTGAAGCATATGCGAGTTTGGGGTTGTAAAGCACAGGTAAAACCTTGCAATCCATAATAGATAAAGCTTGATACTAAAACTGTTGATGATTTCTTTGTCGGCTATTGCATCGGATCTTATGGGTACAGATTCTATTGTCTAAATCATACTACCAGGGTTATTGAATCTAATCAAGCTTATTTCTTCAAAGATGCCTTAGATAGTGGGAGCTTTGTGCCTAGGCATATCACTTTACATGATGAAAGCAGTATTTTTCCTATGCCTATCATGAGAACCCCTCATGTTGATAGAAATAATGCCGTGGATTAGTATGAAGCTAAAGATGAACTACCTTTAAAGGGTGATGAGGATTTAGTTGTTGAACCAAGACAATCCCAAAGGTTTGCGGGTCTGCTATTCCAGATGATTACATGGTGTATTTGCAAGAATTTGATTCAGATGCTATTGATAGTTTAGACTCGATATCTTATCAAGAGGCTATTTCTAGCTCACATTTTTCTGAATGGTTGAAGGCTATGAGTGAAGAAATTGCCTTTATATACCACAATCATGTATGGGAGCTTGTAAAGCTATTAAAGGTTTTTAAGCCAGTGGGTTGCAAATAGGTCTTTAAAATAAAATGAGGAGCTACAGGTGAAATTAATATATACAAAACCAAACTTGTAGCTAAAGGCTACAACCATAAAGAAGGTATTGATTACACAAAGACCTTCTCTCCGGTATCCACTAAAGATGCTTTTAGAGTGCTAATGGCTTTAGTTGCACAGTTTGATCTTGACCTTCACCAGATGGATGTCAAGACTACATTCTTCAATGGTGATTTATATGAAGAAGTCTACATGACATAACTTGAAGGTTTTGTTGAATTTGGTAAAGAACATCTAATGTGTAGATTGAAGAGATCCATCTAGAGGCTAAAATAGGCCTCTAGGCAATGGTATTTGAAGTTTAATGAAGTAATCACCTCGCTCGATTTTGTTGAGAATGTCTCATATCAGTGTATCTATCAAAAGTTTGATAGGAATAATTTTGCCATTCTTGTTCTCTATGTTGATGATATCTTGTTAGCCAGCAATTCAATAGATTTCCTCAATGAGATAAAATATCTATTGTCTAGGCATTTTGACATGAAGGACATGGGTGAAGCTTCCTTTATTCTTAGGATACAGATTCATCATGACAGATCTCGTGGTATTCTTGATTTATCATAAACCACTTGTATTAAACGGGTACTTAAGAAATTCAAAATGGATTCATGTTCTCTCTCACCTACTCCTGTACAGAAAGGTGAACTATTGTTAGAGTTACAGTGTCCCAAGAATGATAAGAAAAGGGCTAAAATGAAAAAGATATCATACGCTTCTGCTATTGGCAACCTTATGTACATTCAAGTGTGTACTTGACTAGATATAGCCTTTGCCATTGGAGTATTGGGTTGATACTTAAATGATCCAAGTCCGGATCATTGGAAGGCTACTAAGAAAGTTATGAGTTATCTTCAAGGTACAAAGAATTATATATTGACCTACAGAAGGTCAAATTCTCTTAAGGTTGTTGGGTATTCTAATTATGACTTTAAGGGATCAAAAAATCTTAAAATTGTTGGCTTTTTAGATTTAAATTTTTCCTCTTGTCTGGATGATTGTAAATCCATGATCGGCTACATTTTCATGTTGTTTGGAGGAGCTGTTTCTTGAAAAAGTATGAAACTGACACTTACAATAGTTTCATCTATGGAAGCTGAGTATATTGCTTGTTTTGAGACTACACATCAAGCTATATGGTTGAGGAAGTTGATATCTGGCATGTGCCTAGTTGATTCAATATCACGTCCTCTAACCATTTACTGTGATAACAAATCTAACATATACTATGCTAATAATCACAAAAATTCCAGTCGTACAAAGCATTTTGTAAACTTATGTTTGTGAAAGAGAAAATTGCTGAGTCTCAAACCCATATCGTACACATTTTTGGTACACAGATGCTTGCAAATCATCTAACCAAGGGCTTACCTGTAGAAGTTTTTAAAAATCATGTAACTTGTATAGGTATTGTGAATTCTTTTGATGCCTTAGTTTAGTGGGAGTCTGAGAATCTTTTGTATTGCAATTTCTCGTTAGGCTTTGTTTTCTTCTGTGAGTTATATTCAGTTTAGTTAGATGCGTCTATATCATTTGTATGCCCATAAGATTCAATAATTCTATTGTAATATGCTATGCATGTCACTTGTTTCCCAATAGGAATCAGTGATTTATGTTGTTATCTTACAATGCTGTGTTTGAAATAAAATTTCATATTTTATTCAGATTATGAGACATTATATTACTTGTTTCCCCATAGCATCCAGTGATTTTGTGGAGTTTCATTTTTTGAATTTTGTATGTGGCTTGTTTATACTACTTGCTTAATTAATGCAATCCAAGTGGGAGATTGTTGGAATATTTATTTATAGATTAACATTAATTAATAAGCCCAAACAAATTGTTGTTTATGATCTTGTGTGGACTGTGATAGGTAGACCATACAAGTGAGCCCAATGGGCAGAAGCCCAACCCATAACCCAATAGTCATTAGTTATTCCCTATCTCTTAACTGACTGAGTTAAAGATAATGGAATATAATTATTTAATTATTCAATAAAGCGGTTACTGATCTAATCCTTATAAGTCGATCAGTCGATAACTGCAAACACTCAATACATTTTCTTCTACTCCATTATCTCTGCATTCTCTGAAAAACTCTAGGCTCTAGTGGGTTGTACATCTGTCTACACTCGAGATGATTAAGGTATCTCTAGTAAGCGATCATGGATTCTTCAGGTACGCACATATTACTTTATTCTATCGTATTCGATCATATATGAATTAAGATACTAAACCTAACAATATGGAAATGGATAGTCTAGAGGTGCTTATTCTTGGTAGACGCTCAAATCTTGAGAAGCTCCCAGAGTTTGGAGAAAACATGAGAAATCTATACTTCATTGATGTGAATCGAATGAAAATCACCGAAGTTCCTTCCTCCATAATTCATGTAATAAATCTCAAATATTTAGATTTGTATTGTTCTCAAGACTTGATTCAATAATAGGCTTAATGCCCAAGCTTCCTCCAAATCTTATCATACGAGCATGTGATATCATCGTACAGCGAAAAGACGATTATCCTTACTTGGAACCTTCATCTGCTCTAGAACATCTCATTGCATCAAATGCCTATAAGGTTTTCATCTCTATCTCTTTAATTTTTTCCATACAATTTCTTTATCCTCACCATATTAAGTTAAGAATAAAGTAAGAATTTAGTCTATATATGGAACCATTTTCTCTTTACTTTAATATAAAAAAATTTATGTGGGGTGTGTGTTTGCATGTGTGTGCTTCTTTTGAAGGATCACAAACGGCAAAAAGTATAAAAGAAAGAGGATGATACTTTATGAATTAAAGTAAAGAGAGAAAATGACATTTGAGAACTCTTGAAGAAACTTAATAGCAATTTAGCATCTTGAAATTTTTTGAATTTCAATTAATCATCTTCTGTATTTTCTTACTCTTTTTCCTCTTTTTTTTTTTTTAGTTCTCAGTTTTTGAGTTTTTCCACTAGTCATCTTATAAATTTTAGTGTTCATCGTCCATGTTACTAGTACCAAAAAAAAAATCAAAGATAAGTGTTGAAAATGCTTAAGTAAATGTCATTCCCCAAGTAAAAATATGTATGTCTGAAGAATTAAATTAATAGCAGATCGCGTTTAACATTTATTACAGGGTCCAATTCACCTATATTTTGACACTTTCGGTAACAAGAATTTAGAGATCCCAATTTGATTTGAAGAGAGAAAACATTGTCGGACAAAGAATGCCTCAGGTGAAGTAGTGACCATAACGGCAAACATACCTGACGGGGAAGAATGTTGCTGGGCAATTGCTATATGTGTTGTGTTTAGAATCTTTCCTGATGAATTGGGAGGTTTCTGCATAAATTGGGAGTTCCAAGATTATTGCCATACTGATGATGAGAGTGATGGAACAGATGATTTCAGCTTAAGGTGGTGGGATGAAGGTCATCGAGAGTATGTGGGATATTATCCTATTCATAAAGAAGATTGTCGACCAAATCCAACTGGTGTAGGAAGCCAAGTTCATTTAAAACTGAACTTCCCAAAAGCTCTGCATCTTATTCCATCTATCAAACTTGATTCACATGACTAGGAATTTAGGGACTGTTGGTGGCGCCTGCTGAAACTTTGATGGTACATTGCTATATCCTTCTTATTTTCTAATTTTTACTTTCCTTTTTTACATGCGAAACCCTTCCCCCACACACCCCCCCCCAAAAAAAAAATTCTTTTTAGGAGTATGATAATTAGGTTCTCAACCAAACTTGCTGAAAAAAATTAGATGCAAATGTTGATTTAAATAATTACAAATTCATGATGAGTTTCAATTACAATTAAGATATATATCTATAGTACTATTCATAAGTAATTAACTCCTAAGTTTTTTTGCCATAACTGAGAAAAACTCTAAAACTTATTAACTTTGTTTGAAAATGTAATAAGTTCTCAAATTTACCCCTATTAATGTTAATAATATATTTTCTGTAACCAAAATTTAATAGATGATAAAAGGAGAAATTTGTGGTAAAAATTCAGTAATGTGACTTATAAATAGGACAAAAAAAATCTATTCATTCCACCTTATAGATAAGACTAGAGAGAGTAATTAAGTTTTAAATGTAATTATGAATTGGCAATTGTCTAAATCAATTTTTACAAGGGAAAATGATAATAAAATCTCACCTAAATATATAAATGACAA